TACAGAAATTACAGTACTGCGCAAGAAAGTTAGATATTGATGTCAACTTCGTCGAGTTGACAGCTCTCTTTTCTTTCTCACTAACTCTTCCTCTCTCTCTCTCTTTCTCTCTCTTTCTCTCCGAACCGACTACATATTAATCGTTATTATATAAAAAAATATATTCGTATAAAATAAATATATAACTACATGATGACGCTCGATTGACAATATCCCGTGACCAGTGACAGTACTTAGACTCCCCCCCTTTTTTTTTAAGTAGCCAGTGCGTAAGTAGATAATTAAGTAGATTACACGAAACATCCAGGAAACTCGTCGCAGATGAAACTGTCATACGCGATCGCAACTGAAGAAACTAATTGTCGGATGAACAATCATACGCATCATCGTGTGTCTCGATCACAGAGAGTCAAAGTTCTTTCGAGGATTCGCGAAACCGCGAGTGGGCATCTGAAAAACCATCGGGGGGCTGGGGAGGGCGGGTATATGTACATATACGTTTGCACACAAATACAAATATGTGTATCAAATAATAAATAAGAGGAAAAAAGGAGAAGAGTAGTATCTAATCTGCTTTCAGCGAAAAAAAAAACAACGATAAATAAAGCCATTTGTACAAAGCAGATGATAATTCTCGCGGTCTAAAACTTATAAAACTGTCTCTTATTGTAAGGAACAAAAAATGCTATTTCGGGATGACAAGTTCGAATCCTCTGTGAAACGTCACGGTGACACAAGTGTCCCCACCGCGAAACGATTATTCCATACAGAACTGTCTCTCTTTCTCTCATATAGCGCAATTAATGAAAAATAAAATCTTATGCCACGTGATTAGAAATGTATTACATACGTTTACTTATCCTGCGACTTATTAACTTTCTCTCTCTCTCTCTCTCTCTCTCTCTCTCTCTTTCTCTCACGCACACACATACTTTCACATATATGTCATATTTGCAGTTATTTCAAACGTTACTTACACAATGCGTCAGCATTGAATCAAAGTAAGTTCACGTCCATTGTAATCGTATATAATAATCTGCACACAACCATTTTTTTCATTTTCTTACAGATATACGTAGCAATAATGACTTTGACAGAACCGTTTCCCTCCCTTGCTATAATGCATATAAAATGTCTTTAATGAGCTTGTCCCCGCCGCACTTTCCTCGCACACGCTACGTGTCTTTCCCTCTATTTTATAGCTTACAATTAGTTATACACGCATGCACGGCAGCACGGCCACGGCGCTTAAGCGACGGTTTGTCAAAGATTATTGCGTCATTTTGTTTTAATCTTGTAAATTCGCTACTCTATCTTTCCTCTGGCTCATATAAAAATAACACGCAATGCGAAGCTATCCAACATTGCTTTGTACATTCGCCCGTGCTCCAATGAAACAAAGTTGAACTTAACGAATCTAAAGAGAGTGTGTTCACACATTGCCGAAACTATGACGGTCATCCGTACTATACGGGACGCGAAAAGCTATTAGTATACAACTTAAATGTAGGATAAAACACGAGTGTGATCGCCGACGTGGGTCGATAAAAATTTCATAAAACAGAATCATTTCTTGCTTATTAAAAATTTAGTTTACGCCTAAATGATAATCCTATTATGTAACAAAAAAAAGATCGAGTATGAAAAAAGAACTTAATTTCGCTTACAAAAAGATACATGATTCGTGTAATTATCTACTATCATTATTCAAGTTTGTTACGAAAGAAAGTTTCGAGCTAACTCTACCAGCGATTCTATTCGTAACGATGGAAACTGCGAGTAATAGCAGAAATAAGAATAGTATTAGTACAATTAAATTATCAATTAAAATTCAACTAACTATTAGAATTAATTGAATCAAATTTTAATTTACATAGTAAGCATTGGCCAAAATTATTAGGCGCCCTATTAAAATACTTTTTTTCCAAGTAACATTTATTTTTCGAAAGAAATAATAATATTGCTTAGCTCTAACAACTTCACAATTAACACTCTAATAAACAACTTTTAAATAATAGAAGTCTTTCCTGGTATTAGATTCAGTACAGTGTAATGATTATGGGCGCCCAATAATTTTGGCCAAGGCTGTATTTACGATTTGATCTTCAATCAAGACAAAATTTTAGATTAAAATTGAATCTTAATGCCTTTTTAAGATTCAATCCTGCTGATCTAGAAGCATCAGCCCGGACATGCCGTTTTGTCGTCAAAGTATTTGTTTCCATCATTCATCATTGATACTCGAATTAAAACTTGCAAGGAAACCGCTCGACCCAAAACAGATATACAGATATAGATTTGCAGCTCTAACAAAGATATTTTCTGCGTTATGCGAGTGCGTTCACATGCGTAAAAGGTGATTTACACATTCATCCTGATAATAAAATAATACCGTAGATCATTTTCACAGAATGCATCGATCGGATCAGCTGATTTTAGCTGCGCTCTCTACATCTCCCCGTATTCTTGCTTTTCTCCAAAGTGAGCATATATCTCTTCAATTTTAAATCGGGAGAGAATGTAAAGCCTCAGTGAAGGCAGCTAAAAAAAAAACCGACAGATCCGCACCGTTTGGAACATCATTTCACATTAGACGCAACAAACCGCGATTTTTTTTTCATCAACTGTGTCAATACATTTATACGACTAATCTCATATTTACACGTATCGCTTAATTAGGACAAACTGTAATTTCCTTTAATGCTGTGTCGCCCTTTGCCTTCTGCGGCGAGGAGACTGTGCTAAAACATCGGTATGTACATTACGCGCGTATGAAGTAGGCTAAATAGATTATTCAGAGGAGAGAAATAATTATAGATATAGTGCGTTAAGCTAAAAGCAATCTTGACCGTTTCCGCATAATCTTCGTATAGATAAGGATCGTAGACAACCGTCAGTTGTGCCGTTAAACTGCGAGTCCAGGGGAGACTGATATATATATATATCTTGTAGAAAGATTAATGAATCTTATGTACATTATCATGTGAGCACCGAAATTTTACATTTAGTTGCGGTAATAAACAGTAAAAAAAAAAGAACAAAAAAAGACAGTGTCTTTTCGATTCTTCATCATTTGGAAATGAAATATTTCACGAAAAATATCTCGACTTTAGGCTAGATATATTAGTGTTGTGTATGTGTGTGTAAGTGTGAATGTGTGTGTGCATTGGCATATTCCTACATATTGAGAACCTTTGTATAACTATCATAATGATTATCTTATTCATTATTACTGAGATCCCGATCTGCGATCTTCGAAAGACCGATCTCGAGTATCTGTACAAATGCATAACGTGCTACAATCGACTACTCGAATACTTATCATTCCTTAATCCAAAGAAATATTTCTTATTTTTTTTTTTATATTGCATGAAATTTTGAGTCTAATCTCTTCTGATTTGCAAGATTAATAACTTTCGTGCATGCTCGTATGGGTTCGAAAAGAGTTATAATGCTATCAAATTGCTATATATGTGTAATTGATATCAATGTATATATCTTTCAGGTTCCTTTCGAAGGAACGAAGGATTTGGATTGAATTTAAATTCACGGCTCTAATCTCTGATGGCTACGAAAAAAAAAAAAAAAAAAAACCGGGAACAGCTCAACTATCGCCATCTGTGCAGCTGTGCAGTTGCAACAACGCTCACTGGTATGCATAATACACGAATAATAACTTCATTATTCGCAATGACTCTCACCGTTTTAGCGTAAAGTGGAGAGTTAATTCGCCAACGCGATTCAACGCACTCTATTTACATGCAACATTTAAAGTATATCCCACCTGGCATTTATCTCGTGCCGATGGAAATTACACTGTTTACTCTATACAAATGATTTCGGCGAAATCTGATGAAAGCCGATAGAGTGACAGAATCATTGAAACTAACCGCCACACTCGAGCGCAGCGTGCATTCAATGCTGTGCCCACTTTGCATCATTGTTCTGTCCGTCGGTGTCCGCGTCGGCGTCCGCGCTTTCTGACAGATCATCGTCCGCGCCTGAGTGGATACAAGAGTGTCCAATATTAACACCATGATTATTGCAATATTAACCGTTTAAGTGTCGAAAAAGTGCGTGTAAAAAGTGCCAAGCGCTTTCTCTTTCTGTCTTACTAACGTTACATTTGAAGATAGTTGTTACGAGATATTTATCGTATTCTCCATTTTAACTTAATTTCGTGGGAAGCAGTTAATTTAGTACGATATCAAACTTACAGGTCTCCTCCTCGTCGGAGGACTGAAGGGAGAGGACTGAAGAGGAGTCGCTGTCGCTGTCCGTGCTCTCCGAGTTCGCCGACAGGGAACACTGATCGTAATCCTCAGGTTCCAAATAGACCTCCGCGCCAGGGAAAACATATCTTCCCGGTGCCAATTGGTAATACGAGTTTTCTGCGAAAGTTTGCCGTCGTATTAACATCTATATTTTCGATGCTGAAATATTACAAACAGAATAATATTTTTAAAAAAATGTAAGAGTTACATACCTGGTAGCCTGGTGGCGAGGCTTTCTCGAATCTTTGGATGCCAGCGGTGTCGTCTCTCTAACCTTCTTCTATTTTTCAGTTCACCGATGTCGTACTTTTCCTCTGCGTTGTCGGTGCTGTTACAACTGTCACCTATGCCGGAGTCCAACACGGAGTCCACCGACGCCTGTCGCGGCTTCGGTAGCGCTTTGTCCGACTCGATAGCGTCCATCATTGCGGCATCGCCATACTTGCTATTCAACTTATCGCAGTTGTCCAGCAATTTGTGCGATTCCAGCGTGTTTTCGCTCATAACAGCCTCCGAGGAAAGGGACAACGACGTCGGCACCACCTGACACTCTTCCGAATTGTTTTCAGATGTTGATTCCGCGACGTGAAGCTTGTTCTCCGACGAGATTATTGCACATTCAATATCCATTTTCATCAGTGATGTGGAACTCACGACTTCCGCGTCGCGCGAGTTGCCAAAGTTCATCCTTTTGGGACTGTTCTCTATGCTAGTATCACTCAACCGCCTCTTTGGACTTTCTCCTAGAAGATCGAAGCTCTCCTCTGTATTCTCCACGTTGCCAGCGTGAAATGGTGATACACAGACATTGATCTCGTCCGTGTGCTGCGGCATCGTGTTCGCAGTGATCAGCAGACTGTCCTGACTTTCCGTCGAGGACACGTGCGGCTTTAAATCGACTTCTACGCTGTCGCGCGACATTTCGGTGTTGGTTATTGTGTCTTGGCTCTGTTCCCACATGTCGTCGCACACATATCGCAAAAGCTGCGGCACCTCCTTCAAGACTTTATCGTACCAACAGACTTCCTTGTAAGTTTCGCCCATCCTGTAGAACGTCGACAAAATTTTTGTTTTAATTATCATAATTAAAATTATTACTATATTGAATTAATATAATTGAATATCTTGCATTAATATTGCATTACATTTTCATATATATATATATATATATATATATATATATATATATATATATATATATATTTTTACTATTATATTTAAAAATTTTTTTACATCGTATTCAATATCTTGGATTTATCTCAAATCGATATCTTGCAAAGTTTTTACATAAAACAAATAGATAAAATTTCTCACTTACAAATGGCATATCTGATTTATAACGATGTCACCATCGCCCAACAGCTCAACGTCGAATTTCAGGTGCGGCAATGGCTCGCGATTAATGAGGATCTGCGGTACATGCGATGGAATGGATGAAGGAATTAGAGCTACCGGTCGGACCTTCAGAGACGATCCGATAACAATAAGAAGGTCGCAATCGTCCTTGTCTTTGGCCATCGCGTCGTGAAAAGCGTCCGGAAGTCCTTCGCCGAAGAAGACAATGTCTGGCTTCATTATACCTTGCGACACCAGGTCTGAAAATTGCGCGAGGCGGCGTTTAATCAAATTGATTATCGATTCGAGTGAATTAATAATTTTCTAAGATTTCAAGTTCTACACACTCAATCGTAACAGATCTGTCGTATTGAAAAAACGACGAACCGTAGCACGAATAACTGCGAAACACAGCACTCACGCGGGAAAGTGCAATCTTAAAAGTTTTACCTTTATGTATTAACAAGCGAAGCTTTAATCGCAGTTACGATTGATGTAGCGACTTAGGGATCAGTAACTTCATTTAGTTCGAGACGCATTCCGAGAAGAGTAGATAATGTTCTCTCATTGGCCACGGACTCGCGGCACAAAGGCTAACAACAGAAAACTGTCACTAAAGACAGCTAATTCTCCATATCAAATTAAAATTGACAAGTCCTTACGAAAGACAGCAAAAACAAATACACTATCAGCAATGATCATGTAAAAACAGATTGCTCTATATTTATACCTCTGTAATTCTCACTGCAATTAATTTCGGACAGAGAAGGTAATGTGTTGACGCGGCATTTCGGGCAGGTGGGTATCCTCTGTGCAAAGATGTCCTCCCTGATGTCATCCGCTCTCACTTGATACTTACACCTCGTGCACGACGCAGTGGCGAAGGAGCCTTTAACAGAAAACACATTTTTACAGCTACATCTTCGAAAACTATTAGTCACATAAATTAAATTTAATCAGAAAAATTATATTTTAATCGAAAATCAATAAAATATAAAAGTAAAAATTTATAATATAAAAATCGAGATAAAATATTAAAATAGAAATTTATAATAAAAAACATATATCTCTAAAATATGATAAAAATGTCCTCTGTATTATATTAATAAATATAAATTAATTATATTCACCATGGCATTCAATCACATTTTCGATGCCTGCAACCTGCTCCAAAGTATCAATATTTTGTGAGTAATTTCTCAAAAGCTTCTTCTGCTTGTCTAACATTTTAATGAACCTATGACAGGGACTGGGCTTGAATTGTCCCGGATATATCTCACGCGCAAACTTATAGAATGGCCTAGGATCTTGACTAAAGTAATTGATGTCGAACATAGCCTGAAAATAGATTAGGAAATAAATTAGATATAAATTCTTTTTTACTATAACATCATGTCGAGATATCTAAAAATGTTAATGCCAAATATAGGAATTTTGTTAAATATTAACAGAGTTAATAGAATTATTAAATATTAATCAAGTTGAAAAAAGTAGATTTAAAAATTCAATGTAAAATTAAAAAATTCCAAAATACCTGTGGATCCGGCAAGTCCGGGAAATCTTGCGCCAGTCTGGAATAAATACCATCCCTACTTCTGAAATCGGGAATGCCACAGCTGACGCTGACACCCGCACCGGTCAGTACTATGATTTTCTTGCTATTGCGAATTAATCGCACCACATCCGACAAGGTATTTATGTGTCTGAGCTTCTGCCGCCTCGGAGGTTCTGACATCATGTTGATTATAATCTGAAAGTCACATAATCCGTTACATCATTTCTTCTTACTAACTCTTACAAATTTGCAAAGCAAAGAATATTATGTTCTATATACCTTCCATAATGTGAGATCGTCAACCTGCTCAGGAATCTGCGTGGAATCCAAGAAAATGTGATTCAGAAGATCTCTGGGATTGACACCTGTCGACATCTGTTTCTGAATCCACGAAGAGTTTCGCCATTGAAGACTGACTTCTGCTTCTCCGGAGAGATCAGATAAGCCTGATAACTCTGACAGGTTTGAGACGGTAGAGGACACCTCATCCTTCTCATCAGTGTCGATTCTGAAATATGATATTATATAAGAAATGCAAAGTTCTAAAAATTTTGATATTTTATGAATATGTTAACAAAAAAAATTAATCAGAAATGAAACTTACGGACAACCAATATCGTTGCTTGTGGAGTCGACTCTACATGGTGGTGATGTTAGGTTTGTGGTTGAAGGAGATATGGATGCTGATTTGGATTCATCGCTCAGTTCGTTAAATCCGCTATCTGTGCCTAGCGCTTCTTTGCATAACATAAAATATAATTAGTAATTTACATTGGGTAATTTACATAACTTATATTAGCACATTGCCAACCCATAAATTTACCTCTTTGCACTTAAAAAATCGTGTGTATTTATTATGCATCAGATTGTTCAGATAATAGCACTTTTCTAAAATTGAAGATATATATGTGTGTTGATGATATTGAAACTGTGCTGTATCTAGTACTTAGATGTAATTAATACAGTTGGCAAAGTGTTATCAAATAATGTATTAAAATGTACTGAAATGTATATTGATAAATATTTTCAACTTAAAAAATAATTTATATGATTATGTAAATTTTTTTCTATTTTTATTTTGTATCTTAATTCTACAAATATTTAATTTAATGTTAAATTAAAATATCATTAAAGGTTAAGAAATATCATTAAAGATTAAGAATCGATACATTTCATCATTTTATTAATAATACAGTAATTACAAAATAATTATGTGGATGATAAAAAAATATAATTAAGCTTTAAGAAAATGGATTTCTATGTATATATATACAATATTATATAGACATTATTTTGAATCAAATGATTCGAATGAATATCCCGCCTAACATCTCAGTTCAATGAAATGGCGGGAGCATGTCGCGCGATGTAAGATTTGTTCCTTCTCTCCAAAGCCGGAATATCCGTTCATTTCTGTATTCAATGCCAAAAACGCAAATGAACAGACCAGAATGAACAGCCCAATGTAGAAAATGGGCGTCGGAGAGAGAATGAACGAAATAATCCAGTATACAGAAAATGCAGCTAAAATAAACGGAGGTTTACGAATGCCATCTGTGAACGTCGACGAAGAGCACGGCGAGCGTACACGCATACTCGGCGTCCCCAAATTCGATCGATCGATCAACGCCTTGGCGTTCCAAAAGATTGGAATGATATCGTGAGAAATAAAAAAAAAGAAGAAAATATTCCGCGAGAACTGTTCGAATGGAAAATTCTGGTCGCAATTGATCATCTAGGAACGTGCACAGGCCGCGACAAAATTGCGACGCAATTAGTCATGACTGTCATGGCGGCCGTTTTGCTCGGTCGAGCGACAATGAAGGACGCGGAAAGACCGCGAACGTGACGGCGGGCTAAAAGGCGTTCGATAGCCGCCATCTTGCATGTGAGCACCCGCGAATTTCGTGGGTTTCGTGCGATCGCGCGCGTATTTAGAGCATTCTGATACCTTCGAGATCGTCATGCGGGCTGTCGTGGGCCATCTCGCCGGGCAACGGATCCACCAAGGCCTCACCGATGCTTTCGTGATCACTGCCGTCCACCTTACGACGCTTCGCCGGGGACGAATATTCCAGCAGCTCCGAACTCGACGCCATTTTCGACAGTAATGCAACGCATAGTACGATGCACTCTGACCGCCGCTCGCTGCACTAGGGGTCGCTCTGGTCCCCCTGGCCATCTAAACTTTCCCCCACTCTTTTCGCCGTCTTCTTCGCGCGTCACGGACATCGATGATTCCAGACAGTTCCACATGATTTTTGATTATTCTCCATGATGGTCAGATATGATAATTATCAAACACGGCGTTTTGATATCAGATTTACACAATAATCTTTTTATCAAGCTGACATGTCAAATGAGCAAATTTTTCATTGAAAATAAATTTCAAAGAAAATAATTTTAGTAACAATATAATATAATTTATAATACTATATAATATAATACAATATAATTTCAGTGATAATAAAATGGAACCGTAGTAAAAATCTGTTAGAAAATATATTTAACAGTTCAAGAAAATATGTAGAATTTGGAGGTTAGATACATTAAACCGCTATTACATGTGTCGATCGTCATACTTGCTGAATAACCAGATTGGCTGTCTAAAAGAAAACTAAATCTAAGAGGAGAGAAACTCATAAATTCCCCATACAACAGCCAATAAAAATTATTAGCGAGTAAATATCATATATGCAAAAATTATAAATCAGCCTTATTGACTTTGTCAGTTTGACCGCTGTTGTTAAATTGCTAACAAGACAAGACGTTTGATATGTAATTACATATTGTAAAAAAACGAAAAGGATTACAGTGCCTTAAAAGAAACGGAAAAACCCAATATTTAATTTGAACAAGAGGAGAAACTAAACGAGAAGAATTGGAGAACACGTGTCTTCTAATTCGTGCTACGCTTGACATTTAGTTCGTTTATTCAAAACTTAATTCAAAACTTAATTCATCGTTATCCTAATTCAGTCGAGTTTATTCGTTGATAATGGGTACTGATCACACGCATAGACGATGGAGCAATTTGCGAAAAGTATTGGAGAGATCGGGCCCGTTTTGCCGGCCGGATTTCGAGCCGTCTTCCGAGATCCTGCAATTCCTGCTGGAGCACTGCAAAGTGCTCGTTGTCGGTGCCGGTGGTTTAGGATGCGAGATGCTCAAGAATCTGGCTCTTATGGGATTCAGACAGATCCATGTAATTGATATGGACAGGATTGAATTGTCTAACCTTAACCGGTAGGTGAGGTTATGCGACACAAAACATACATTCGGTTTATGAAATTAACGAATTGCAGATGTTATTTACTTTTTAATTAATTTTTTATTATATAAAAAAGTACAATTTTTGTGATAGATTACTCATTTATTACTAATTTAACAATTTTTAATGTAGTTTATGTGAAAATATTTATGTGTTTTAAATGTTGCAGACAGTTCTTGTTTCGTCATAAAGATATTGGATCTTATAAAGCGGAGGTAGCAGCAGAGTTTATCAAAGTTAGAGTTCCTGGCTGCAATGTAATTGCGCATAATTGTGAGATACAAGCTAAAGATGAGTCATTTTATCAACAATTCCACATAATAATCTGTGGATTAGACTCCATTGTTGCAAGAAGATGGCTCAATAGCATGTTGTTGTCTTTGCTTGTCTATGAAGATGGTGAATTAGACAAGTCCACTGTCATACCATTGATCGATGGTGGAACCGAAGGTTTTAAGGGAAATGCTCGACTTATATTACCTGGTTTAAGTCCATGTATCGAATGCACCTTAGATCTCTACCCTCCACAAGTAAATATAATTCAACAGTGTTCCACATTCGTTCTTAAGAATAAATATTATTAATAGATTTGTGTCCTATCATATATGTTAGAAGCTTGTTTGTGCCTTACATAGGTCACATATCCTTTATGTACGATAGCCAACACTCCACGTTTACCAGAGCACTGTATAGAATATGTGAAAGTGATTCAGTGGCCTAAGGAAAACCCATTTGATTGTGCTATCGATGGCGACGATCCCCAGCATATAAACTGGATTTATGAAAAGTCTAATGAGAGAGCAGCGCAATTTGGCATACAGGGCTTGACATACAGACTCGTACAGGGTGTTGTCAAAAATATCATACCAGCTGTGGCATCGACGAATGCTGCTATTGCCGCAATCTGCGCAACTGAGGCGTTCAAACTTGCAAGCAGTTGCAGCGCATCTTTAAATAATTATATGGTAATTACAATAAATTAACGATAATTTGTTATAGACAAAGTAATAATTCGATAATATTAAATATTGAATAATTTCGTAATAAGGCCGATATATAATTCGATTACAATTCAAAAGCGAATTGTATCACTTATGATTTCGACGGAACGTTAGAAACTAACAAATAATTTATTTGAAGGTACTCAACAATCTGGACGGAGTGTACACGTACACTTACGAGGCGGAGAGAAAGAAGGATTGTTTAGCGTGCAGTCAAATACCGCGAGAGATCCAGATCAAGGATTCGAAATACAAACTGCAGGACTTGATAGAGCTTCTTTGCGAACAGCAGGATTTGCAAATGAAACGTCCTGGCCTCACGGCAATGATAAACGGTCAAAATAAAACACTGTACATACAAACGGTGCAGAGTATCGAGGAGAGGACTCGCGAGAATCTGTCGAAGACTTTGACCGAGTTGGGCTTGAAAGACGGCACTGAAATAAATGTTGCCGACTTAACAACACCCAATGCAATCACTATGGTATTGCGATTTCCGCAGACCGATAGCACAATTCAGGAGTAACTGCGTCAAGAATTTATTTCTTAAATGTTCCATTTCTCATCGAATTTACATTATTTAAATGAAATTAGAGCGAACTGGAAATTAAAGGTATAATAAAGTGTAGAAAGGTATCAAAAATGGTTCACACACGATTTTACGTTAATTTATAATATGGTTATGTCAATGATATCACCTCTCTGGTTATGTTTCATATATGTCGAAACTGTAAAACTGCATTTTATTGTATAACATTCACATCGGTTAATAGTTATTAGCGACTTTTGGTGGTTTTCAAACGTAACAAAAAGTATATAGCGAAAAAAATAAAAATCCTGTGAGTAAATGAAGAAATAAGTACTTGAACAATAAAGACACGACTGTAAATACTATTTTATATTTCTGTACTTACATCTTCACTCTGATCAGAGATCATGTCATAGCAAAATTACCAACAAGTGATAATCTATAAAATCCAGTTTATATAAGTTTAGATTGATGAAATTTGTGTTTTCTTTTCTCTTTCATCTTTCTACAATTATATACTTTGCGGATTACGTATTTAACTCTATGTCGAGAAAGAAATTGAATAATATATGATTCGTGAAATATGCTCGTGTCAAAATCTATACTCGTTAGCTTATCATCAAGCATATTTATAACAATTTCTTTTCCTTTTCGCATCGCCATGTTGAAATTTATACTGTGTATGAAATTTGTGCACGGCCCTCGTTTGCAAAATTTTTATGCTTTACTCGTTCCAACGTTTGCGGAAAAGTCATTTATGATAAAATTGATTAACTCACAATGATTTTTAATATTTAACGTTGAAAACATTACTAGAAACAATTACAAAGCGCCACCAAATGTTGCTAATAATTTTATTGCACACGTGATTGCGATCATGGGACTAAAGCAAATGATGGACCAGTGCACAATGATATTTTGTTATACAAGCACACTTTGTAACATTCGACGTATGCACAACTTGAGTAGAAAAAATATCTATAACAGATACATTATCTATCCCTCTTATATAAAACTATTATTACAGTGTTAATTTTTATAATTTGCGGCTTGTAGCAAGTCGGCAAGTCAATTTTACTTCCCAAGAATTATGCTTTCTTGCGAAGATCTATTTCTCGTCCCGCTCAAATAAACTCGTTTTAATATTAGTGCACTTCCAGCTGCTACTAACAATTTGCACTCTGCACATTATTTTATAATCTGCGCAGAGTAAAAGTGACTTATACATATATAATTTTTTTTGTTTCGGTCGGGGGTATTTTCGCAACGAAACACTCAAAGAGTCATTGGCATTTCATTGTTTATGCAGAGTCCCAAAATGGACATTTCTCCAATTGTACAATTCCAAGTTAAACCTTATAGTATAGTTCTCATAGAGCTGGATACAAAATTGGCTAGTGCAGAACCAGTAGTGAATATTAAAGTGAATCGCATTTCATGTAAATATTTCAAAATTACAATATATAATTTACCTATCCAAATTTTCTGACATCGTCCAAAGTAATAAATACAAATCGAATAGATATTCTGTAAAATTTTATCACTTTCAGCTCACAATAAATACAATTGATATACAGTATTGAGAATTGATATACTTTTAGTCAAGTTACAAAAAAACTTTTTGATGTGGCACCTCCATACCTGCAATCTTCAATCACAAACAGTTAGAATTGATACGAATAATCATCAATCGTTTGCGATTCAACTAATCGAAAATGCTTGGTGATTCGTTTTACTTGCAACAGTTTGCGATTGAAACATATCGACCTTCTACGATGACCTCCAATGATCTTCATAGTGTTATATGATATTATATGATGTTATCTGATTGTTATATATTATGAACAACATCGAAAAGTTCTTCCATGGCATCCATTGCTAAATCAGAATTATGAATCAATCTTTATATATGCAATATACTCCATAAAATACATCTACTAGATGTGTACGTTCCATTATTTTGGACTCAGAAAATTTGATTTGTGTACAAGGCAAATTGTACATTGAAACTTTTGACTGATAATTATTTGTTTGGATATTTCGATATAAAAACTTAAGTGTTGACAGTTAAACGGTTGTGTTGAACAGACGTGTTGAACGGAGTATCAATCATTGAGGAATCAGCCTGATGACATACTACATTCATCTGAGGAAAGTCTCGAGTTTTATCGTTCTGTCGAAAATGAAGTTTGAAAACAAAGTTTTGATTTTCGACAGAATGACAAAACTCGACACTTTCCTCAGATGAATGGAGTATGTAGTCATCAGGCTGATTCCTCAATGGTTGATATTCCGTTCAACACAACCGTTTAACTATCAACACTCAAGTTTTTATATCAAAATATCCAAACGATACGAATAATTATCAGTCGAAAGGTTGATATTTCGTACAGATGGCAAAGGAATGCAAAGCATCGTTGCAATGTGCAGCTTGTCAATGCAATTCCCGGATGAAACATTGATTGAGCGTGAAAGTGTCCAATTTTGGCTCTCAAGTAGTTAAATAAAAAGTATCGGAATAGTGTACGTTGTCAGTAAGTCATGGTATGGATTAAAATGACAATGTTAGGCCTTGGCATCGACTTCCATAGCGACGTCTCCAACAGCTTTCTCGGCCTTCTTTTTCTTCTTTTTTGCAGACTTCGGATTCGCCGAAGAGTACAGAAGACTCTGTAAGTTTCAATTATAGATAGCATTAATTGATAATAGGAAATTCAACGCTCATTATTTTCCTTATCATAACATTCTAACGCACCTTTAATTCAGGATCGTCCACGACACAATCGGACTGATAAATATCGAGGTCAAAAGGAATTCCTGTGATTTTGTGAGGTCCGTTAGGCATCAACAGTACTGTAAATTTGAATTGTGCAGCATATTCGTTTGGTTTCTCGTATAATACCTATATTAAGAAAGAATAATGTTAGAATTCTTTTTCCTCGATATTATATAATGGCTCATAAAAATAATTGTAATGTTCTTACTTGGAATGGCTCAATCAATCTATGATTAACACATTCGACAACCGCCATTTTTGCTTTCTTTTCATCCTCAAAGGTGCGTAGATTGAATGGCATGAGACCATGCTTGTGGGAAACTTCCGAGTAGAACATGCGAGACGCCTTCAGTTTGAGCTGATATGTCTCCTCTGTCTTTTTGTATATCGTGACCCGAGTATCCTGTTCTCTTCCTATTCCCTCACCTGTGCTAACCAGTACATCCATTGCATATACCTAAAATTAATAATACGATAAGTGTTAGAAATCACCTGATACGGAGCTTCTTTCTTTGTTTCGCATGTTTTTAGTAACTCTCATTTCAATTATCAACTTAAATATCGTACCTCATGAGTTTCAAGTGTGTACTTTTCATGTTCCTTCTTTTGTGCATCGTTCGGATTCTGAATTATTGTTTTCTCCCCGTCAATCTTGAATTGTTTCAATTGGTGACTTAACATACCCTCAATCGGCTTACACTTATAGATATCGCATAATTTTTCTACGGTACTCGTTATTGTGTAAGTCTGAAATATATAATTAGACATCAAAATTTGTTCATAATTTTAATTGTTGTTAGATATCAAAACTATAGGTCCTAGATACCTGAGCATCCGGGAGAAATCGCTAAAGGAGAAACAAAAAAATAGAGTATTCTCAATCGTACCTCTGTACCTGGCTTTAAAAGCCTTAATGCAGCTTGAGAAGCAAAATGTGCTGCTAAAACTACATCCGCCTTTCTGCCTGTCACTTTTTTCTCTGTTGAAGAACCTATGACAATAGTATGTGCCACAACAGCTACAAAACCATCAATATGGGCTCCTAAATCACTGCAATTATATTTCATTACATTATCATTAAAAAAGGTAAAACAACAGTATTAGAATGTATTATTTGATATTTGCATGATTAAATCTTGCTGTAAATTGCAAAAAATGATATAAAATACTTGTGTAGAAAAACTTACACTTTAACCATGTCTTTATCTTTCAGAATGAGATCAGGTTCGCTGGCAATGGGAGAGAAATGACAGATACAATTGTTGACTGATATGCATGTTGGAAAAGCAATTCCTTTTTTAAGGTCTTTCTCTTTTTTAAAAACTTTACTAGTTTCCTCTATTAATAGTTTGTCACCAAATTCGCATATTTCTCTTGCAGAAGCGTCGACAATGCATCCATCTAAAACTTGTTTTAATACTCCTGCAAAACAAACAAATATTATATTAATACAGTATATAATTAAGAGAAAACTACATCAAAGTAAAAAACTTCAACTTCAACAACTTTTCTTACAGAAGCTATTTTTGTGAATAACACATAATTTTAAACTTTTGTGTGTATCTAATTAAATAATTGTCTAAACACAGTTGAATACAATTTCAAGTTCAATGTAAAACACAAAATAAACTAGTAATTCAAGTCAATACAAGTAACTCCAATGTGTGATCTTACGAGACAACAGCAAGCAGCGTTTTTAATTCGAAAAATCGATCGAGCTGATTAAATGTTGAATGAAAGCAGATAAACAAGGTCATCGACTCCAGTTTAGCTCAAGATAACGAAATGAGTCAAGCGGAATGCGTGCTAGCGATGTAACCAGACGGCCTCGCGCAAAACTCTACATCTAAATTGCATTGCCCTACCGTCCGAGAAATGGACGATCGGTGATAAAAAAAAATTCGCGCGTTCGGCGAGCATAAAATTGTACGCCGAGGCTGTCCGGGTCTGTGAATGCTGCTAGCATGTAGGGCTAGCACATGGTCGCGAGCGTAGCCCGGCATTGGCGCGCCGCATTCCATATGGCCGCGACGACGAGAGGACGCGCGCGGGACGCGCGCTCGCCGTCGCGCGGGCTCGCATGCGGCCATACGAAGACATTTCCTTACGGTTTACGATCTCGCCGGCCATTTTATACTTGGTGACAACCAAGTCCTCGGCGATGGTCTTCTCGGTTTCCTCCTTGTCCGCCATGTCTTCTGTACACTATATCGCGATCACGTGACTGTACGGCGGCGACCGCTCCGGAGACTCCTTCCGCTAGCTGAGCTGTGGCGGTAATCACAATATTCGCGACGCGCAACACGATGGGCGCCAATTGGCGCACGGTAGCCTGATCAGTGACGCCAGATTTGAGACGCAAAAGCAGCAAGCAGCACGATGGAGGGAATACCGCACACAGGCGTAAGCCACTTACATGTGAACTCCTCTTAAAAAAGCATCTGTGCGTCTCAAATCTGGCATGACTGGCTGGATTCTTATTATTATTATTATTATCATTGTTCGATTTTTCGATTGTGCACTCGATCTCTCGGAGCCGTCGACCGTACAACGATAATCGATATATATTATCGATAAACCCTTCATGCAAGAGTGATCAGAATAGTCCACAAATTATCACACGAGTGACTCAAGTAAAACGATTCCGATGTGTGCGGAGACTTTTGTACATTTCTAAAACAAAACGGCGCGATTTTTTGTTGAATTTGTTTACCGTTCACTGTATCAAGAGAATAAATGTGCCCAACAGGGGAAAATATTCGAGCCGTGAAGAGGCTTCGTAGAATTAAAGGGATTTAGCGTTTGTTGGCGACGAGAGGAGGAAAAAGAGAGAGCAAGCATCAACGAGATTACACACGACTTGACGTCGTGATTATTAAGGAAAAATGACTGCTATGGGTTTCTTCGGTTGCGCCTTCCTGGCCTTCGGCCCGCCGCTAGCTATGTTCACCTTCACCATCGCTCACGAGCCTATCCGGATAATCGTGCTGATCGCCAGCGCTTTCTTCTGGCTCATCTCCCTGCTGCTGTCGTCGGTGCTCTGGTACATTGTCGTCCCGCTGCAGGGATACCTCGCGTTTGGACTGGTGTTTTCTGTACTGTTTCAGGAAAGCTTTAGGTAATCCTCAATGTACATACTAGGGTCGATTCAATTGTTTCTCCAGCATCTGTCAGCATTTCCCAAACGCATGGACATAAACTTATGTTATTTTTTTTGTTTTTAAAGGTATCTGCTGTATTGGGTTCTGCGCAGAGCTGAAAAGGGTTTGGACAAACTGACAACGATAAATGTGGCAGACAGCAGAGATGCATTCGCTTATGTGTGCGGCTTGGGTTTCGGTTTCATGAGCGGCTCCTTCGCTTTGGTTAACGTCTTGGCTGACGCAGTTGGACCAGGCACCATGGGCCTGCGGTCAGGCACTGAATACTTCTTTATGATATCAGCCGCCACTACTTTGTGCTTGATTCTACTGCACACATTTTGGGGCGTTATCTTCTTCTCTGCTCTGGACAGAAAGAAATGGGGACAGATCTTCTGGGTGGTCGGATCCCACCTGTTTGTCTGTTGTATGACCTTGCTCAATCGTTATCAGGCGTACATGGTCACTCTGCTGACCGCTTACACAGTACTGGTGTTAACGGCCGCGCTCGCGTTTAAAATCACAGGTGGACGGACGCAACTCCTGTTCCAGAGAAATTGTTTACGGAGAAATTGAGAGCTTGTAGGAGTTATTTAATAACGCGATTACAGCAAAGAGATCTATCTTTAACAATTACGAACGTCCTAATGAGATACATCCTCCCCCTTTAGCTGCTAGTCTATAAACGATTTGTTCATTGCTCCATTATATAAGAACACGTCGAGCGAGCAGAATATTTTTATGCTTTCAGCTTATTAAGCAGGATGATGCGAGAAGATGAGTATATTGTTGATAAATATTACGAGGCTAAACATAGTCCATTGAAATTCATAATGTGTACATAATGCATTCACTTGACCAAACTGAGTGAGGAATGTATTTCATACTGTAATCTCTCATGACGTTTTGAAATTAATATATTCCGTGATGTTTCCTGAAGCAAGATTTCCGCAATTATTTCCCCTTCAAAAGGCTCTAGCATTGAATACTCTCTGGTCAAGTTGTCCGTCCCTTAATCAAAACAGTTGTATGACAGATTTGGACCATTTCGATGTGGAGCATTCATACATTATCTTCTTGTATCCGTAAAGAGAAAGAAAACAAATATCCAAAATGTGTACGTGTTTACGTGCGTCCGTGTATGTGTGTATAAATACATGTATGCGTCTATAATGTATAATTATTACGTCAAATGAGGTGTATAATTGTGCAATTCGCACCTTGAAAATGAATTCCTTGATTAGGTTAAATGAGGATAATATGTAAGGAATTGTTCGTTACTTTTTGTATATAAAAGGAAATAAGAGGGAAGCCACTGATAATTACATTTAAGATAATTACTGTGACATATATATATATATCTCTTAACACACTTGATTCATTTAATCTTCACTTACCACATGTTGCAATCGTTTATTATCCAATTCACATTGCATTTCGTATGACAGTAAAATAAAAACAATTTTTGTACAATTTCACTTGTATAAATTACTGCTCGTTTCCCTTCAGGTGCAAAAATGCTTTTTTCCGTGACATAATTTTTTTTATCAATTCGCTTATTCTTACAATCAGTCTGCTGTAAAGTTGCAGATAAATTTTGAATAAATTTGTAATTATCGTAGAACAAAAATAATCCAAAATATCGCTCAGATCTTCCACATTGTTCCAAATTATCAATAATATAATGAAATTGTTCAATTACTATAAATCATAATTATAAATGAAATTCTAACAATATAAAAATTAACAATTACGGAGAAACAAGAGGATGATTAAGTTTTTAAAAACTTCTTGCTCACCGAAAAAATCAAGACATTCTATCAATAAAAAGTCTTGTATTTCTTGGAAAAACAAATTATTAAAAAAAAAAAAGAAAAAAAAACAAGATCCTTGCAAGTTTTATCTTAAAAAAATTGCATTACACTGCCGATACAGTCAAATTGCCGTACATTTTTCTTTTCGCATATTATCGAAGCGTGACTGCCACGTCCCGACGAGAAAAATATATGAATATCTGACTGTAATTGGCAATGCTTAAGAGCTCGTCAAAGAAGCCATAAGTAGCTCCATTTTGTTAAGGAAATTCTTCCCTTCCATCTTATCCCATCTGACTTCCTTGAAAGATCCTCCCAGATTCTCCCACTTCCTTTCTCGAACAAGTTGTCCGGGGAAGAAATCCTTTCGCGGGGAATGAGCAATGGCAACTTGCACGCCCGTTTGCGGCTCACATCGCACGGCTATCATTCTGCAAAGAGAATTGAAATCGATCATTAGATAATGTTGAAACTTTTTTTCCCCGTCAAAAGTTCAAGTTATAAAATACCTGTCGCCAATCGGCGAGGCTAAAATACAACTACTGGCATTTCCTAAAGGTTCCACCGAGCCTAATCCGAGGTGCGAGCTGTTTGCCAAAAACTGCCAGCCCATGCACTTGGCCAGAGCCTGCACCGCGCTTATTTGATGCTGGTAAATCTGCATGCAGAAGAACATTAGGATTATTACTTTACCAAAAGTGGGAAATATCTTACGCCTTGAATTTCATAATCTTGTACTGTACAGATATGTTCCTGTAAAAATGGCTAACCTGACAGAAAATGAGGTCCCTCAGTTCCTGGGGCTCGTAACTCATGTGCATGACTCTACCATCGCGACATATGCACTTTAACGATTTCTCACCGACGTGAACGACCATTGACGTCCTGCACACGCTATCGTATCCGTGTGTTAGGATATTAATTTTCACGCACGACTGCGTGGGCGAGTTGAGTGCATTCCAGTGCGAAACGATGAGGGGATCTTTCACCTCCTTCGCTATCGTGTCCAATACGTATTCTGTGCGTAAGCGCATGAAAAAGTGTTGCGCCTGTTGAATAATCTGCTCCAGCAGCGTTTGACTCTTCGTCATCTCTAGAAGCTCGTATCTGTCGGCGGCGGTGGGGCCGGCTAGATATCTGCGTTTACTGGGCCCGAGCGGACCCGAGACGGGATGCGGAAACGGATGATTGCTATTCTTGTGGTGCACTTCGCGCAGCAGTTGATGCAGAGAGTGTTCCAACACATGATCGTGATCCGTTTTGTGCGGCGGCGGAGCTGCAGGTTTCTTGTCATTGCCAGTGCTGTGGCACAAGCCGATTATTAATTGAATTCCTGGCAGTACCTAATGTAACATCAAAGAAAACAATTTAGCATTATTGTTTTATTAATTGCGTTTTAAATTTATACAACAATTCAGAGTATTGCAATTTAATGTTGATAAAATAATCCAGTATTTTTTGTAAATTGCAAAATACTACATAAGAACAGAGATAAAACTCTCGATTTCTAGTTACAAGATACGTACCGTGGCCATTATTTGATTTCCAACAACCATGTGAGGTATAGGCGCGCGTAAGTGCACAGCCTCACGTGCTAATTGACTAAACAATTCTTTACAGAATAGAACATTTTGCGCAGCTTCCAACTTCTGCTGCCAATGCATGTCGGTGTTTGAATTGTTCGCGCTGCTGTTAAGCAGACTTATATTTGCGCTGCACAGATCTTCTTGATCTAAATAAATTGTATATGCTCATTTGTTACATGTAAGACATGTAATGTAGTATATATTTTAACAAGTTTTTTTTTATCGTTTTACCTTTCTGACATAATACTTCGATGTAGGCGACACCTTGCAACTCGCTGGGTATGGTCACACGTAAGGCAGATGCTTTCGAGTTTGAGGGACCGTGCGACTGCCCTGTTATATTGCTGCCAGCATTGGGAGACGCAGGTGGACTGTTATTACTTTTCTCCTCTTCCTCAGCTTTGGTGACTTCGAACATGCCCGTTTGTGTATATTTTGAGCCAGCTAATATAAACACAAACTTTGTAAGCTTACAAGTTTGAGTAAAAATGTTCAAAGCTACAAATTATTTTCTCCATAAAGCATAAAGACATGTTTCAGATGAATAAAAAATAAATACAAACCAGTTCGATAACTGAGATCACCAATGATGGAGTTAGACACCTTCTTCAAACGCCAATTCTGCCGTAATCTTAATAATTCAATATGGAAGTCAGGAGTGGACTTGGTTCTAGCTAACTCAGCCTGACAACTTCGTAGTCTCTCAGCACCTGTTATGAGAACATTCGCCGCTCCTCCTAATGCCTTTTTCCTAGCATACACTTGTATCATAGGTTTCACTTCAACTGGTTCTTGAGGTACTGGATCTAATACCATGTAATTTTTCTCCTTTGCTATTGCAAGTACATCAGCCAGTACACAAACTTCTGTTAAGGCGTTCCTGTGAAAAGAATCAAGATCAACTTTCATTCAGTTATTCAAAAGTTATTGATGTTTCCAATCATCGACTCATATGTTTGTTTTGTATCTATTTCATTACATTTGTAATATAAAGTTTCAAATGCAGGAAAACATGCCAAACCTTAATTTATTCCTAACGCTATCCCATGGCCATAAGGAAGACTGAAAGGAAGCGGGATCTTTCGTATCCTCTTCGCCCTTCTCGCCACTCTCCAACTGCTCCTTCTTTATCTCTTCGCCATTTGTTTTGCTGAAGTCGATCTTTTGAGCAATTTTCGCCAAGTTTTCCGACAACGTGAGAGGCCTGTGTAATTAGTGCAAGTTAATAGTGTCTTAATATACAATCTTACACAATCTTTTGACCAAGCTGAGGTTAGTCATAAGATGTAGCGTACACTTGACATCCCACAAAAAGTATATAAATCAAATATCGTTCATGATGTTGTCTGTTATTGTAATAATTACTACGTACGCTTGGTAAATCTCCTGGCCATCGTAAGTGATCTCCTGTATCTGATTCTCTATCGGCGCTTCCACGGAAATGTTCACGGAATACGCCATTGTTGTTGTTATTATATGTCAAAGCCACGAGATAATGCTAGACTGTTTAGAAACATGCAGTCGAACCAGTCGAACACACTCGATGATGTACGGAACTATGAATGCACACTTGCACTAAATATGCACTAAAATTACCAGCTTATATCCAATCAAAATATTTATTTTTTGAGAATACAAAAATGTGGTTTGTTAAAGTCTCTAGAAAGCACATCATTTTATTGGATGCTGAATGAATATTGCACGCAAAGTGAATTCGCCATAATGCAATGCTAGCAATGCAGTGCTGTGCAGCATGAAAACTTTGCGTAAAATTCTGTATGATAAAGTTTATGAAGCGTGAGATGCATGAGATACAAGATACATTTATTTAAGAAAAATCAAATATTTTATAAATCTTATAATGCATATGAGAGGTAATAATCAACAGTTTTTGTTAAAAAAAACATTCATATTAAACTTATTTGATTACTGAAATTTTCTTCTGAGATAACCTTTTTTTACATATTTTTACAAAAAAACAAATTTCAAATTTTATCAAAGTGCTTATTACGATTTTATATGTATTTTAACAAATTTTTTTATTTTAGCTTAGCATTTTTATCTTAGACATCAAGAAGCACAAACCCAAGTTAGAAAACAATGTGTCTTGAATTGTATTGTAAAACAATACATTTCCGAGGATTTTTTTTGCAGTTCTGGATGCATTTGATTCACTTTATGAGTTACTATAGCATAAAATGTAAAGGTAAGATCAAAATAAAATAAGTAAATGTAGAATGAGAGATGTAAAATGGAATAGGTATTGAAAATATGCTCATATTTAACACCATGAAGCATCCACTTTGATGTTGATCTGCGGTAAAAGTCGCATGACGGTAAAATAACATGACATAATATTCATAATTTTTCTGACAGAATATATAACCAAATGCATTTTTTACAGTAAATTTATTGATAATATTTCACATTCTTTGCATTAGAGTGTTAAGGGTCATTTTCGCACACCGTAGACATTAGAATGCAAGCTCAGCGGGATTCCACCGGTGACAAGTCTGTTCGTTCTTTCTGTATCTTGGTCTTCGCACCCCATGTTGAGCCCTTCTCTCGATGCGAAAAGTACGAGAGAGTGAAATCGAAAAGAACCTGAATCTAATCCCTTACGAAGGTAGGGAGTCAATTGACAGGCGATCAGATCAATGAAAGAAGCGAGAGAGTGGTCGTTGTAAAGAACTGATCTTGCAGCCGATCCGCTACGAGACACACACATCTACACACATAAGAATGAGATGCGATGAAACAGCCGCGTTGAGCCCGTTTCAATATGCATTAGGAATCAGGAAAATGCAACGGACAAGGAGCTCCCCCCTGTAAATGGCATCCTGCAGGAAATAAATTACGGGAAACAGTGCCGAGTCCGCCTGCTGTTGCGGCTGCCTCGCTCCTATAGGAATGTGGCACTCCAAAATGGCTGCCAGTTACTCTAGTAATTTACGACAGTATCTGCCTTTGTTGTCGCGCGTGTGAATCGCGGGTACTCGCCGCGGAACCTCGAAGTCGGCCGACGAGGAGAGAGAGAGGTGTTGCGCCCGCGCGCTCGCTCGCGCGACACGCACGCGGATATATGTGTATGCGTCCGTGTTGTGTGTATGTGTGCGTGTGTATCCGTGTGTCCGTCTGCGCCTGGTTGCACCGAGATCGCTCGTGTCCGCTCGATTTGTACCGCGCACCAGGAGATTCGGCGCGACTCTGCAACCCCTGCGTCGCTGGCGTACGTGGCGCTACATCGCGCACACCCTCGTCATCGCAGGCTCGCCGTGCGGCGCGCGAACGTGAGAGTGCGCGACGCGGAATATGCTCGGAATCTACTCGACCGTCACTACTGCTGTCGTCCCATCAAGAGAGTCAAAAGAGGAAATTCCGCAGCGAACACGGCCGTACGTCGTCTGTATAGCATGAGCATCCCGGTGCGCTGACAGACACGGCAACGCCAAGCTCGGTCGCGGCGCCGTCGCTCGTTCGCCATCCAGCTCGAACGGGACCAACCCGTTATAGGTTAGCTCTCGCGCTCGCACCGTGTTCAGCTCGCCCGTTCGCACCAGCGACACGAAGATGTTGAAGAGCAAGTGCAAATTATGCCCGCTGCCTCGTCGCCGTGTCCGCCACCAGCATTCTCCCCGCGAAGCAGACGTACGAGCGCGATCGTTCTCCACGACGTTGTGATGTACTTATCGCGCGGACTGGTCCGACGAGTCGATTTTGTATCCACAATTCTTACGCGTCTGGTTGTTTCGCGACTCGTGTTATTGTAATACGTAACGTTATTGTACACAAGCGAGATATATGTGCAAGGGTGACCCGGAGTGACCCTGGTGTTGTGAACTGAACTGTTAGCTCTACACATCCTCCGTCGCTGCCATGACGCTAGAAAGTGTCTGTGGCATGGCAAATTAGCAGTGATCTTTGTTCTGTAAGCATTATTTTATCGTATGGATTAATCTGTGTTTTGTGGGTTTATATTATTTTTCTTGTGCTTATCAAGATATATAGATCCGTAGTCCTATGTAAACAAGTATATTGAAATCGTATTTACACTTTGCATATGGAATGCAATTGGTGATTCGTAGCGATACGCATCTTGTTTGTGATAGATATTAATTGTTAGTAAGAGCACTGATATTTGTCAAAACTGATATCAATGGATTCTCAAGTGATAAAAAAAGAGAACTTGTTTGATTAGTTTATTATAATGTGTTTTATCTTTTAATTCAAATTTAATTCTAACTTCTATGTTTTTCTTATGTATTATTTTAATTTTTGAAAGGCATGGTATCAAACTTCTGCGTTTTCCACTCTATTTTTGTTTGTATTATTCTTATGTTGTTCTTTCATCACTTGACATTTGCCACACGTTTCACTACTTGCAATTTATAATTTTATTAAATAAAAGTTTGTAATTTGTACTTGCACGCATGTACATTGACATATATTGATATGAAATTTTTATTTCTCAAGAAGCAATTATAAATATAATCTCAGAACGAAAAATAATGGAGAAAAATAAGGTCACAAATATGAAAACTTGATTGCGATGTAATTATCTTTCTTTTATGTATATTTGTTAAATATTTCTTCAAATGTAGAAATTTACGCATTTAAATATTTCATATTTGTATTGCGAAGCAGGAACAAAAATGGAATTTTGAATAATACATAAGGAAAACAATGTAGTTAATATTATTATGATTGTCTTCTTTTCTTAAATCGATGAATTCTCTTTAAGGAATTTGTCTTCTTTTCTTAAATCGATGAGTTCTCTTTAAGGAATTTTAAAATACTAATGTTTACATTTTTATGTACAAATATCTTGTTAAATATTTGTCTAACATACACAGTATCAAATTATCCATATCTATCTATTTATCTATATATATATTTATATACACAGTATCAAATTATCCATATCTATCTATCTATCTATATATTTATATACATATTTTCTTTTGAAGCGTATGGATTGATTGTTGTACTAACAAAAGTAAATGTTTTATGTTGCAGATGCGTTTATATATGTCACAGCCGGATTAAAGCTAGGTCCCAAAGGGCCTAGCATGGGCCACTATGAATCCGCCCGCGGTCAGCAAATCGAGCACACGCGGCTCTGGATACCACCAAAAAGCATTAGCTGAGATTCGCAACTCTTTGCTACCGTTTGCAAATAGCGGCGGGGCTGGCGAGGTAGGTTCTAGCGCCGCTAGCACTATTTCTACCGTCTCCACGACCAGCGGCATCAGCTCTGCGTCGGGTCTCAGTGGATTGTCTGGCGCGTCCGGTTCCGCTGCCGATAAGCCGGATCAGCGGCAGAATCAAGCGTTAGGACAACTATTAACCATGGGTTACTCGGAGGTGAGATGACTCGTTTTTCGAATGGATCATGCAAAAACATGAGCGATGAAACTCTACAAATTGACAATATCATTTGCAGGAAATAGGATTACGCGCTCTCAAGTTCGCGGGATGGCGTTTGGACGCAGCAATCGAATACTTGAAGCAGGCGCAAGTTGAGTCCTTGAACGGGATCGGTAAACTCAACACCAAACTAATTCGGAAGCCGAGTCTGGAGCGAGAATTGAGTCTGCAGCGTGGCAGTCCGGCGTTGGACAGCGGTGCGGGTAGCTCACGATCCGACAGTCCGCGTCTCACGGAGCTCGGCGCGCATCCGCAATTGAGCCGCCAGTACTCGCCCAGCAACTTCGTGGAACCGCCGCCGCCGCCTCCACCACGTTGCAGTTCGACGCCACCGCCGCCGCCGCCGCCCCACGCGCCTTACAGCCAGTCCAATGTACCGACGAACATGCAGCAGATGCTTAAACGTATGTCGCCTGCACCGGTCGTGCCGACGAGACCAGCCGCGGCCGCGCCTGGCACGGCCGGCGCCTCATCGACGTCCGTGAATCCACCGCAGCGCGGCACAAGCCCGGTGGCGAGCGTCAACAATTCTGGCAGCCGTCAGCCGATGATCGTGCAGAACGGCCCGCAGGTGCAGCAGCAGCTCAGCCAGCAGATGCAGGCGCTCAGCATCTATCAGACGGGCGGCAGCAATACGAGTACGCAGGTCGAGCCGCCACCTCCGTATCCGATCGTGCCGCAGTCGTCGGCTGGCCAGCAGATACAGCCGCCTTCTTACAGCGCGTCCATGCAAAATCGGCAAAGTCCCACGCAGTCGCAGCAGGATTATCGCAAGAGTCCGTCGTCGGGCATCTATTCGGGCCCGACGTCCGCCGGCACGCCGAGCCCCATCACCGTGTCGACTATTCCCGTGTCACCTAGCAGTACGCAGACCTCGATGGCGCGGCCGACGCCGTTGCAAGCGTGGGGCGCGCGGCAAGCCAAGACTCAGCCGCCGATTATCATGCAATCGGTGAAGAGCACGCAGGTTCAGAAGCCCGTGTTACAGACGGCGATCGCGCCGACAGCGCCGCAACCGATCTCCACGACTAGCAGCACGCCGCCGCCGCCGCCCTCGTACGCCTCGTCCATACAGCAGAAGCAGCAGCAGCAGCAACCACCGCCGCCCGCTTACCCGCCCGTCAACAATACGGCGGGACCGCCTGCGAGTATACCGACGACAGAGCCGCCGAGTTACGCGACGACGATGCAGGCGCTGGCGGCGCAGCGCGGCATACATCATCCGTTATTGCCGCCGCCGTACAGCACGCCCGCCGACGACTCCGCAGTAATGTCGTCCACGGTGGAAAGCGGCAATGCGCTGCGAACCTCGCCTGTCGCCCATCATCCGCCGCTGCAGAGGAAATACTCGCCGGCGGACAACTGCCAGCACGCGGGAATGGACGCGCCGCCTCTGCCGCCGGTCGCCTCGACCTCCGTATCCGCCAGGAACAATAACAACCACTCGTCCTTACCCGAAGGCAACGGCGGAAATACCAAGGGCGGCAAAGGCGACGGCACGCCATCGCTGTATAAGATCAAGCATCAGTCCCCGATACCCGAGCGTAAGACGATGAGCATAGAGAAGGAGGAGGAACGCAGGGACTGCAAGGTGCGGAATTACTCTCCCCAGGCCTTCAAGTTCTTCATGGAACAACACGTGGAGAATGTGCTCAAGTCGCACAAGCAACGCGTCTACCGGCGCATGCAACTGGAGAACGAAATGGCGAAGATAGGATTGAGCGCGGAGGCGCAGTGCATGATGCGGAAAATGTTATCGCAGAAGGAATCGAATTACATCCGGTTGAAGCGAGCGAAGATGGACAAGTCGATGTTCACGAAGATCAAGCCGATCGGCGTGGGCGCGTTCGGCGAGGTTACGCTCGTGAGGAAACTGGACACCAATCAGTTCTACGCGATGAAGACCCTGCGCAAGGCCGACGTGTTGAACCGCAATCAAGTCGCTCACGTGAAGGCCGAGCGTGATATATTGGCGGAGGCCGATAACGAGTGGGTCGTCAAGCTTTATTACTCGTTTCAAGATAAGGACAACCTCTACTTTGTGATGGACTACATACCCGGCGGCGATTTAATGTCACTGCTGATCAAGCTTGGCATTTTCAAGGAGCCACTCGCGAGATTCTACATCGCCGAGCTCACATGCGCGGTCGAGAGCGTCCACAAGATGGGATTCATTCACCGAGACATCAAACCGGACAACATCTTGATCGATCGCGACGGGCATATCAAGCTAACCGACTTCGGCCTCTGCACGGGATTCCGCTGGACGCACAATTCTAAATATTACCAGCAAAACGGTAAGCATTCTTCAAGCGTATTTAACATTTATTCTTCATATATTTGAATCATTTGCTCAGTAGACGTGACGTTTGAAATAGAATTTGGAAAATAGAGCGGTGCGATTTCTGCATTCTAGGTCATGGTAAACAAGACTCGATGGATCCAGCTGACGATTGGAACAACGAATGCCAGTGCATACAGTTGAAACCGTTGGAGCGCAGGCGGCACAGGGAACATCAAAGATGTTTGGCACATTCTCTGGTTGGTACGCCGAACTACATTGCACCAGAGGTCCTGCAGCGTACGGGATACACGCAATTGTGCGATTGGTGGAGCGTAGGAGTGATTTTGTATGAAATGTTGGTCGGTTCTCCACCGTTTCTTGCCAATACGCCTGCTGAAACTCAATATAAGGTACACGACGTATAATTATTCTAATGTTAAGCAACGGTAATGTGTTTCCTCATTTTTAAATGTATAAAAAAAGAATAATATCTGATTTAACTCTTTGTATTTCAAGCATTATTTGAGTTAGCTGCGTTAGAGTTTTGGAATTTTAATAAATTAATTATTTATGATAATCGAATATAAAGAAAGTAAATGAAAGTGCAATGTACATTTAGTATAAATAAACATTGACCTCGCCTCGAACATATTGTGAACGTTTTCACATAAATGAATGAGTTTCTTAGTACTAAAGATTTTTTGTATTTCCGCAGGTCATCAATTGGGAAACAACGCTTCACATACCGAAGCAAGCGAATCTGTCGCCGGAGAGCAGGGATCTAATACTGAAGCTTTGCGTCGGCGCGGAGCGTCGGTTAGGCAAAAATGCAAACGAGGTCAAGAGTCATCCGTTCTTCGCGAGCATCGACTTCGAGAAAGGACTGCGGCGACAGATGGCCCCGCATATACCTCGCATAGAATATCCAACTGACACGAGTAACTTCGATCCCGTGGATCCCGAAAAACTGCGCAACTCGGAATCGTCGGACTCGAACAAATCGGACGAGATGATGGACAACGGTAAGCCGTTCCACGGCTTCTTCGAGTTCACGTTCAGGCGGTTCTTCGACGACGGTGGTGGTCCCGCGTATCCTAGTCGAATCAGTTTGGACGATAACGACAATCAAGGTCCCGTCTACGTATGACATTAGGCTAACTTTTGCAGGAGGTTCGTGAGCCTTGTTTGTATCAAAAGTAATCGGGACCGTG